AAAATACCCTTGACTTTCACATATGATATAAGGTCTCCAAGGAACCCTTAGAATCCTACTGCTCCAGTAAGGCATCGGGGTGTCTTTGTAACGGCAACGAGAGGACCTGTAAATGCCAGCTATGCTAGTAGGACAGGAAGCTCAAGGTCATTCTGGTCAAAATAGAGAGACCTTCCAGAAATAAGAAGTAAAAAGGTAGCTGGATGTGGCTGAGTGCTACAGAGTCTGAATTCCATGCAGTAAAAAACTTGGTTCACTTCTCAGTATGGGGGCATGGGTGGGGCAGGAAGTACTACAACAACCAAAGGGTAGAACACATAATTACTAAACAAAGAAGATTCTTGCTGCTTGCTGATTTTACTTTCATTCCTTCCACAAGGAAGAATTTGTGGCCACCTTGAATTTCCAGTGTCAAGCCTGCTATGAATTACAGGGCCAAATATTTGAGCATCTCAGTTGTAGGTGCAGTTTTGGCTGTGCATTAAATGCAGGCCTCAAGTGTGCGCGCGTGTGCGTGAGTGCGTGTGTGTGTGTGTGTGTGTGTGTGTGTATGTGTGTGTGTGTGTGTTGACTTGCATAGTCCTCAATCTGAACTGCTCATGTTCACTTTCTTCCTCTCCCTCCCATTCCATGCTCACAGCCGGCTGGCAGGCCGAGAGTCCACCCATTGCTTCCATCTGGCAAGCAGACTCTGCTTCTCTCACAGCTTCTATTATAATTGACAGTTTCTCTAAAAACAACCTCAGAAGCCTCGAACTGCACACAAAACAAACAAATAAATAAAGCAATTAATGCTTTTCTGCAGACATAACAGTCAGGACTAGTGTTTCTTCCCTTACATTCACTGGAGCTTCCTGTGGTCTTGGTCCTTCAAAGCAGCCCAAGATCCCCTCATGTGCCCACCCGTGTGTGTGTGTGTGTGTGTGTGTGTGTGTGTGTGTGTGTCTGTGTGTGTGTGCGCGCATGCGTGCATTTGTGTGTGTGTGCGCGTGTGTCTGTGTAGACATGCCTGCCAGGTCCTGTGTGTATGAATGCAGGAGGATGACTTTGTGGAGTTGATTCACTCCTTGAACAATTGTGTGGGTGGTAGGGATTGAACTCAGATCTCTAGGCTTGCTCTCCAAGCACCTTCACTGGATGAGCCATCCTTCGGGCCCCATGAAGGTGTGATCTTCTGCCCATCCCAGGTGTCAGCTCTTGCCCTTCTCTCCTTTCTCTGAAACAGGTGTGGATTTCAGAGTGCTGGCAGTCCCCTTCACTGAATATCGGCTGAAATCGTTTCTTTCCTTAATTCCTCATGTCCGTGCCCAGCCCTGTAGTATCTCCTGCTAACGCTTCTCTGCCTTTCTAACACAGTGCAGCTCCTGATCTCTGATAGTCTGCTAGCTCTGGCCAGGAGATACTGCCCAGCTTTCCATTCCCACTGTTGATTTGCTCCCTACATGTGGAATCAGGAATTCGGGGTGATGCTTTGTAACACATCCAGAGGGGTTTACTCTGGGAGCTCAAAGGTCCCCCTCTGTGGAGGAGGGCTTCTCACCCCCATTCTAGATTCTGGCAGTAGGGAATACTGACCTCAGTTATTTGTCCACAGGACTCAGTGCTTTAATTCTCACTGCTTCTTATTAAGCCTTTTGGTAGGACCAATCTTTTACCCAAACCAGGGAGGACTATGCAATCTGTGAAATTCAGAATGTCTGTTTCCCAGTAAATAGCAAGCCTGGAGTGGCAGACAGGGATAATTTCTGAGTTCTATTAATACCTCAGAGAGGTTGGGAGATGTGTTATTTCCACAAATACCACAGAGCAGAAAGTGGGCTAAGTACTCTTTTCTGCACATGCTAGATGGTAGTGCTGTCTTACAACAAAGAAGCACTGTTGGTGGTGAAGAATAGGGCAGCAGTAGACACAGGGATAAGGCTGCTAAGTCTGGGGTCAGGAACAGATTCTTAAAAGACAATGCGTGTTTCAGGGGGTGAAGAAATGGGTGCAGGTGCCTGCTGCACCAGTATTACCATCTGAGTTTGAATCCTCTGAATACATGTTAAAAAGCTTGGGTGGAGAGAGGAGGATTTCTGGGGCTTGCTGCATTGCCTAGCTCCCAGCTCATTTGAAAGATCCTGTATCAAGGAAAAAAGGCAGAGAATGACAGAGCAGGATACCTGAAGTCCTATTTTGGCTTCCAGGCATAGACATATGCTCCCCACTCCCCCTTCCATGTACATCTGCTACACACATATCCAATATAGACATATCTAGTGTACAACACACACACACACACACACACACAGTCTCTGTCGCTGTCCTGTAACTTTGACATCTACTGGGTTATCTTTATTCTAGGTCTTACCTAGTGGTTCCTTGTAGGAATGAACCCCACAAAGCTATCTGCCCATGAGGGCGGGGACATGTAAACTGACACAGGTAGATATAAAAGGAAGTGAAAGGAAAAAGAACCTCCCTTTTCTCCTGGAAGCCAGCCACGTTTCTAACTCCTGGTTTGTTCCGTTCTCTCTCTCTCTGGTAAATAAATATATTGTTTTCCATATAGCATCGAATATCTCTGATAGTCCCCAACAGTTCTAGGCTCTTTTGTTGCCAGAGAGAAATCTAAGTTTGAAATCACAATTCTTTCCCAATATGCCCAGAAAAAAGCAGTCAATTATGCATCCACACACATCTCTTTTCACACATCATTAATAATAGATGTCTCTGCTCTGACCAGTTGGTCTTGATATACAAATTAACACTGATAATTAGGGCTGAGGGAAGTCTGGTTTCTCCAAGAACATGAACAATATTGCAAGGAAAGGCAGAAGAAATGGAATGGAGAAGTAACTGCCCTTCCACCCTCAATAGAAAGAAAAAGAATGCTTAAAATAATTTAGTAGAAAATAATGAAATTTCTGTCCAACCATAAAGTATTATTTTTACATAATAAATAAACCAGTATGGTTAATTTTCAGCATGAGATATATTTAGAGTTCATCAAAAAATCACAAATAAGCCAGGGCCAGTAGTTCCCTGTCTTCCCAGTGCTGGTTAGTCTAGGGGCCCTAGGTTTATCCTAGGGTTACAAAGTTACAAGCAGTCTACTAGTTAGAAAAACAAGGGCCCTCAAGTTCCAAGACAAACACTCGATGAGGCTTTACCTCCTGCGCCAATATGATGGTAAGTGTGGGGGCAATGCTACACACTGGGGCATTGTGGTTTCCGGAGAACTCTGCCAATGAGAACTAAATAGGGCAGAGAAAAGCAATCAAGGATACAAAAAGCACTGCTTTGCTGAAAATCCACAGAGCCCCTCCGTTCTGTTCTTTTTCCTAAAGTAATGCCCAGCTTTCAGGGTTGTAAAATAACCGGCTTCACTGTCACTACTCTAAATCTTCAGTACTCGTATACTATGAAGTGGGGATCGTTGTGAAAGACCCTGGCCCAGTTTAAACAGGCAGCTGAGGCTTATGGAAAATTCCGTTCCCCCACAGCTGCATAGTCATTGCCTATCAGAAGGGAGCTCAGCCCAAGGACACAGGCTGCCGGGTGTCTGCGGGCGACCGGACGGCCAGCTCAGCAGGATTGAGCAAACACAGAGACTAATTGTTCCTCAGATAGGGCCAAGGCCAAGACTTGAATTCCAAGAAAAACCTCAATTGCCCGCACTCTGAGCCCTAGCCTCATTTAAATTGCCCAATCAGGGTCCTGTTACTAGGCTTCTCGCTTCTGTACCGCGCTTTTTGCTATAAAAGAACCCCTGAGTCCCCCGCTCAGCGCGCTCAGTTCCCCAAGACTGAGATGCCCGGGTACCCGTGTGTTATCAATAAAGCCTCTTGCTGTTGAATCCAAGCTCGTGGTCTCGCATTTCCTTGGGTTCGGGTCTCCCTTCCGTGAAAGTATCCCTACTGGGGTCTTTTATTTGGTGCGTTGGCCGGGAACTTTGACTTTGAGACCCCCGCCCAGGGACCACCGACCCACTTCTGGGAGGTAAGAATTGTCCAGACTCAATTTCTGTTGTCTGCTGTCTGTCTTTGCCTGTTATTTTCTCGTGCCTGCGTCTGTAGTATACAGCTGTATGCATCTGTATCTGGGGGCACCGAGGAGGAACTGACGAGTTCGTACTCCCGACCGCAGCTCCAGGAGACGTCCTGGTAGCGTCTGGAGTCCTTAAGGACTCATCTGGGTTAGGGGTAGATGTCTAGGAATCTGCCCCATCTGTTTGGGGAAGTCCCGCTGACTGAGGGATTTTCCATCCTTGTAGGGGACAAGGACGGGAGCACGAGGCGCCCGTCCCCGAGCCCATCTGAATTTTTGCTTTTGAATTTACGTCAAAGCCACGCAGCGAAAATCTGTTTGTTTTTATTTCTTATCTGTTCGTCCGTCTTAGTGTCGTTAGTCATCGCTCTCGAGGAAATGGGCCAGACAGTTACCACTCTGCTCAGTCTGACCCTTTCACATTGGCAACAGGTTCAGGAGTACGCTCATAACCAGTCTGTCGATGTGCGCAAGATGCAATAGATCACCTTTTGCTCTTCCGAATGGCCAACTTTTAATGTTGGCTGGCCACGAGACGGCACCTTTAACCCTCAAATTATCTTCCAGGTGAAAGAGAAAGTCATGGATCCTGGGCCCCACGGCCATCCGGACCAAGTACCCTACATAGTCACCTGGGAAGCATTAGTTTATAACCCTCCTACCTGGGTGCGCCCCTTTGTGCACCCAGGAGGTCCCTCCTCCTCCTCTTCCCTAACCCCCCGCCAATTCCAACCCATCCGCGCCCCCCCTTCCGCCCCCTTTGACCCCCTCCCCGCATCCTCAGTCCTCCCATTCTGGCCTTTACCCCACCGTTACTAAGCAGAAAGAGAAAAGAGGAGACCCCAAGGTCCTCCCCCCGGAAGACGGTCTCCTGTTGGATCTTCTGACGGAGGAACCCCCACCGTACCAGGTTCCTCCGGCAGGTCAACCGGCAGCGGCAGCAGCCGAGGCCCAACCTTTGCCTCCTACCGACCCGGAGCCCTCACCTATGGCCTCTAGACTGCGAGGCCGCAGGGAGCAGCCCGCTCCGGATTCCACCACCCTGCCCCTCCGGACTGGCCACGATGGCCAATTACAATACTGGCCGTTTTCTGCCTCTGATCTTTATAACTGGAAAAATAATAACCCCTCCTTTTCAGCAGACCCCGTGAGACTGACTGATCTATTAGAGTCGGTTCTCACTACCCATCAGCCCACCTGGGACGATTGCCAACAGCTTTTGCAGGTCCTCCTAACTTCGGAGGAAAAACAGCGGGTCCTTCTTGAAGCCCGGAAGAATGTTCCTGGGGCAAATGGACAACCTACGCAGCTTCCAAATGAAATTGATGCTGCTTTCCCCCCTTGACCGCCCAGACTGGGACTTCACCACTGAGGCAGGTAGGACCCATCTACGTCTTTATCGCCAGTTGCTTGTAGCGGGTCTCCGAGGGGCGGGTAGGCGCCCTACAAATTTGGCCCAGGTAAGACAGATAGTTCAGAAGGCAGAGGAATCGCCAGCTGCATTTTTAGAAAGACTTAAGGAAGCTTACAGAATGTATACCCCATATGACCCTGAGGACCCCAGGCAAGCTACTGGCCTGACCATGTCCTTCATCTGGCAGTCGGCCGCCGACATCAGAAACAAATTACAGCGGCTAGAAAATTTACAGGGTTGTACTCTACCAGATGTATTAAGAGAGGCAGAGCGCATCTTTAACAAGAGAGAAACCCAGGAAGAGAGGGAAGAGAGATGGAGAAAAGAGGATCGAGAAAGGGCAGAATGTCAGAGACAGGAAACTGAAGAGAGGGAGATAGCGAGGGACAAGAAGCGTAATAGAGAAATGACTAAACTGTTGGCCACAGTAGTCGCAGAGCAGAGACAGGATAGGCAGAGAGAGGGACAACGGGGGCCTCGCCTAGAAAGAGACCAATGTGCATACTGCAAGGAGAAAGGACATTGGGCCAAGAAACAAAGAAGGACATTTCAAAGACCCAAACCCGGTTCTCAGACCTCCGACCTCCTGAGCCTCGAAGATTAGGGAGGTCAGGGCCAGGAGCCCCCCTGAGCCCCGGATAACCATACCAGTAGGGGGGCGTCCGGTCACCTTCCTGGTCAACACGGGGGCCCAACACTCTGTTCTAAATCGGTCACCCGGCCCCTTGAGCCGCCGAACTGCCTGGGTACAAGGGGCTACCGGCGGGAAACAATATCGATGGACCACGGACCGCCAGCTCCACCTAGCGACCGGTAAGGTGATGCACTCCTTTTTACATGTTCCTGACTGTCCACACCCCCTCCTGGGTCGAGACCTCCTAACGAAGTTAAAGGCTCAAGTACATTTTGAGAAAGCCAACATAAGAGTCACGGGGCCAAAAGGGGCCCCACTCACGGTGCTGACCATAGCCTTAGGGGAATAATATAGAATACATGAGCCCAAGGATGACTCTTTTAAGGTCAAAGACCGCTGGCTGACCGACTTTCCCCAGTCCTGGGCAGAGACTGGAGGAATGGGACTAGCCCTCCAACAGGCTCCCATCATAGTCCATTTAAAGGCATATGCTCTCCCGGCCTCAATTAAGCAATATCCCATGTCCCGGGAGGCCCGCGATGGGATCAAACCTCACATTAGGAGGCTACTGGAGCAGGGCATTCTAACCCCCTGCCGGTCCCCCTGGAACACTCCCCTGTTGCCAGTCAAGAAGCCCGGAACCAATGACTATAGGCCGGTCCAGGACCTCCGGGAAGTCAATAAGCGGGTTGAGGACATACACCCCACGGTCCCCAATCCCTATAACCTCCTGAGTGGACTGCCACCTGACTATGTTTGGTACTCAGTCCTGGATTTAAAGGATGCCTTCTTCTGCCTACGATTACACAAAGACAGTCAGCCACTGTTTGCCTTTGAATGGCAGGATGCAGACCTGGGAATCTCGGGACAACTTACATGGACTAGGTTGCCCCAAGGGTTCAAAAATAGCCCCACCCTCTTTGATGAGGCCTTACATCAGGACTTGGCCGGATTTAGAGTCCACCACCCTGAGGTCATCCTCTTACAATATGTGGATGACATCCTGATAGCCACCAAAACAGAGGAGGAATGCCTTAGGGGGACTGAAGCTCTCTTAAAGACTTTAGGAGACTTGGGGTATAGGGCCTCTGCCAAGAAGGCCCAAATCTGCCGGACCCAGGTCACCTACTTGGGGTACAGAATCCAGGATGGAAAACGTTGGCTAACAGAAGCCCGCAAACAGGCCATCCTTGACATCCCTCCTCCCAAGACCCCCTGAAAACTGCGGGAATTCTTGGGAACGGCAGGTTTCTGTAGGCTATGGATCCCCGGGTTCGTGGAAATGGCAGCACCCCTGTACCCCCTCACCAAGACGGGGGCTGCCTTTGACTGGGGGGAGAGCCAGGAGAAAGCCTTCATGGACATCAAAAAGGCTCTGCTCAGCTCCCCAGCTCTGGGGTTACCTGACCTGACTAAACCCTTTGACCTATTCGTGGCTGAGCAAGAGGGTTATGCGAAAGGGGTCCTAACCCAAAAACTTGGACCCTGGAGACGACCGGTCGCCTACCTATTTAAGAAATTAGACCCCGTAGCGTCAGGATGGCCCCCATGTCTCCGCATGATCGCCGCCACCACAGTTCTCATAAAGGACTCTCACAAATTGACTTTTGGGCAGCCTTTGACTATCTATGCCCCCCATGCTATGGAGGCGGTCATCAGGCAGCCACCGGGTCGCTGGCTCACCAATGCCAGGATGACCCATTACCAGACTCTGTTGCTGGACAAGGACCGAATTCACTTCGGGGCTCTGGTGACCCTAAACCCCGCCTCGCTACTTCCCCTTCCTGGGGAGGCAGAGACTCATGACTGCTTGCAGGTCCTGGCCGAGGTCCATGGGCCGAGAACTGACCACACGGATCAACCCCTTCCCAACCCCGACCATGTCTGGTTCACGGATGGAAGCAGCTTTGTACATCAAGGGGAGCGGAAAGCCGGCGCTGCGGTGACAACTGAGTCGGAAATAATTTGGGCCAAGGCCCTGCCGCCGGGAACATCGGCCCAACGAGCAGAGCTGATCGCCTTAACACAGGCCCTGAGACTGGCAGAAGGTAAGAAACTCACTGTCTACACAGACAGCCGCTACGCCTTCGCCACAGCCCACATCCATGGTGAAATTTATAGGTGAAGGGGGCTATTGACCTCAGAGGGCAGAGACATTAAAAACAAAAAGGAAATCCTGGCCCTCTTTGGAGCTCTGCACCTGCCAACCACCCTCAGTATCATACATTGCCCAGGGCACCAGAAAGGCGACAGCCCAGTCGCCCGGGGAAATCGGAGGGCAGACCTGGCCACCCGGGAGGCTGCCCTGGCCATGGAAAACAGCAGTCACCTCCTTCAGGCAGCTGTAGTCCCTGTAACAAATGAGGCTTCCGAGAAGACCTCTCCGTCATGGGACTATGAGATAGGAGACATCAAGGCCATGAAAAGACTGGGGGCGACCCGAGTACATGATGGTCTCTGGACCTATCAAGGAAAAACTGTCCTTCCCCGCCTAATGACTAGATATCTGATTAACAGCCTACACAAACTCACTCATTTGAGCTCCAGGAAAATGCGAGAACTGTTAGCCCGGGAAGAAAATACCCGCCACCTGTTGGGAATGGAAGAATTACTAAAACAAGTAACTGAGCGATGTGACACCTGCGCCCACGTAAATGCGACCAGGCTAAAGCTACCCATGGGGACTCGAGCTCGGGGGCACCGGCCTGGGGTGCATTGGGAAATAGATTTCACAGAAATCAAACCAGGAAAATATGGATACAAGTACCTCCTGGTTTTTGTTGACACCTTTTCGGGATGGACTGAAGCTTACCCTACCAAGCATGAGACGGCAAAGGTGGTCACCAAGAAACTTCTTGAAGAAATCTTTCCCCATTACGGAATGCCACAGGTATTGGGGACAGACAACGGGCCTGCCTTTGTTTCTCAGGTAAGTCAGTCTGTGGCCACCTTGTTGGGGATTGATTGGAAATTACATTGTGCTTACCGACCCCAAAGCTCAGGACAGGTAGAGCGAATGAATAGAACCATTAAGGAGACTCTAACTAAATTATCGCTTGCAGCTGGCACTAAATATCGCTCTTGCTCCCCCTTGCCCTCTATCGTGCCCGGAATACACCGGGCCCCCATGGCCTCACCCCTTTTGAAATTTTATATGGAACCACCATTCCCTTTGTTCAGTTCTTTGACCAAGATATTTCTGACCATGCCAATTCCCCCTCTCTTCAAGCTCACCTGCAGGCACTCCAGCTGGTCCAGCAGGAAGTCTGGAAGCCCCTGGCCCAAGCCTACCGAGACCAGAGGAGACACCCTATCGTCCCCTACTCTTATCATTTGGGAGACAGCGTTTGGGTCCGACGCCACCAGGCTAAGAACCTTGAACCCCGCTGGAAGGGACCATACACAGTCCTGTTGACCACCCCTACTGCTCTCAAGGTGGACGGGATTGCTGCTTGGATACACGCCTCGCATGTAAAAGCTGCCTCCCCTGAGGATCCGGACCCAGGATGGAAGGCTCAGCGCACTCAAAATCCTCTAAAGATAAGACTTACCCGTTCCTCTCCCTCCTGCTAATAGCCCTCCTCATAAAATCAAACACTGGTTTGGCCTCCAATCCCCATACCATTTATAAATTAACCTGGGAGGTTCTCTCCCAAACGGGGGGGAGGTCATTTATGCCGTCACGGAACCACATGCACTTGGGACATGGTGGCCCACTCTGTGGCCTGAATTTTGTGATTTAGTAGCAGGATTGGACACTTGGGACATTCCCCATTGCCACCCGAAGGCATGCGCCAGTGGTTCCCACTTTTACAGACGTCGACGTGCACTCATGGACTCCAGAGAAACCACCCCCGGGTGTGTTGATCAACGAGCCAGAGAGCAGCTAAGTTCAAAGGACTTCTATGTCTGCCCCCGAGATGGGCATGCCTGGCAACAGGCCCAGAAATGTGGGGGATACGACTACTTTTTCTGTGCATCTTGGGGGTGCGAGACCACAGGGGATGCATATTGGAGGCCATCCTCATCCTGGGATAAAATACAAGTACGCAGAGGCTGGGACAAAGAAAAATCTGGAATGATAGGTATGCCCCTTGCCATCTCCTTCACTGCGCAGGGGAAGCAAGCCTCGGACTGGCAGACTGGGTATACCTGGGGTTTGCGCTGGTATCTAGACGGGCCAGACAGGGGGGTAATCTTCAAAATCAGATGTAAAGTGGCTCCTGTCAATTCACAGGCCATAGGCCCTAACCAGGTCCTTGCTGATCAAAAGCGGCCTAGCCAATCATACCCATGGCTGATACCAGGCCCATGACCCTGCCTAGAACCACAGCCGCTCTCGCGCACAACTTCTCCCCAGGAAGCACTCCCAAACCCTCCTTGGTTCCCCCTATTGGGATGGTTCCCCCTCCTAAAGGCACGGGAAATAGAATATTAGCCCTGATCCAAGGGACATATGCCACTCTGAATTTAACTCGCCCAGATAAGACTAAGGAATGCTGGCTTTGTCTGACTCCGCAACCTCCCTATTATGAAGGCTTAGCGGTTGTGGGCAAATATATAAATCAGGCCACAGCCGAGGCTCTTTGTGGGACAGCCATGCAACATAAATTGACCATCTCAGAAGTGTCCGGAAAGGGGCTATGTATAGGTAAGGTCCCTGCCACGCATCAAGGACTATGCAATACTACTGAGCCTTTGCCCCAAAGTAGCCGCTACTTGATAGCCCCCAATGGGACATATTGGGCATGCAGCACTGGATTAACCCCTTGTGTCTCCACCACGGTACTTAATACCACCGTTGACTATTGTGTTCTGATCGAATTATGGCCTAAGGTAATTTACCAACCCTCTGACTATGACTTAATAAGAACTGGCCGCAGTAAGAGGGAACCTATCTCCATCACTACTGCCATCCTACTAGGGGGATTAACCATGGGAGGCCTAGCGGCAGGAATAGGAACCAGTACTGTTGCACTGCAGGAAACTAGACAGTTCCAACTCCTACAACAAGTAATGCGTGCAGATATTCGGTCTTTAGAAGAATCTGTCGCTGCCCTGGAGAAGTCCCTGTCCTCCCTGGCAGAAGTAGCCCTCCAAAATAGAAGGGGACTAGACCTCTTATTTTTGCAGCAGGGGGGAATTTGTGCGGCCCTTAAAGAAGAATGCTGCTTTTATGCAGACCATACAGGAGTGGTAAGAGACAACCTGGCCAAGATAAAAGAAAGATGCCAAAAGTACCAACAACTAATTGAGTCCCAACAGGGATGGTTTCAGAACTGGTATAACAGGTCCCCTTGGTATTCGACCCTCATATCCACCATTATGGGACCCCTGATCATTATACTTTTGGTTCTGATGTTTGGGCCATGCATCTTAAACAGACTGACCCAGTTCATAAAAGAAAGGTTATCGGTTGTACAATCCCTGGTCTTAACCCAACAGTACCAGCAGCTAAAACAGAGGGATCTCGAGATGGTAGAAACTCCTGAATGAAAGATTCCATTCAGTTACAAGAGCAATGGGGGAATGAAAGACCCTGGCCCAGTTTAAACAGGCAGCTGAGGCTTATTGAAAATTCCCTTCCCCCACAGCTGCATAGTCATTGCCTATCAGAAGGGAGCTCAGCCCAAGGACACAGGCTGCCGGGTGTCTGCGGGCGGCCGGATGGCCAGCTCAGCAAGATTAAACAAACACAGAGATATCTGTGGGCGACCAGATGGCCAGCTCAGCAGGATTGAGCAAACACAGAGACTAATTGTTCCTCAGATAGGGCCAAGGCCAAGACTTGAGTTCCAAGAAAAACCTCAATTGCCCGCGCTCTGAGCCCTAGCCTCATTTAAATTGCCCAATCAGGGTCCTGTTACTAGGCTTCTCGCTTCTGTACCGCGCTTTTTGCTATAAAAGAACCCCTGAGTCCCCAGCTCGGCGCGCTCAGTTCCCCAAGACTGAGACGCCCGGGTACCCGTGTGTTATCAATAAAGCCTCTTGCTGTTGCATCCAAGCTCGTGGTCTCGCTGTTCCTTGGGTTCGGGTCTCCCTTCCGTGAAAGTATCCCTACTGGGGTCTTTCAGTTGTTTCCACTTTGGCATGAAACCACTTTTAATGTCTGCAATTACAAAAGAAGTCTGTTACATAATCAAAATGCAAAACAATAATAGTATTAAGTAGATTTTAAAACATTGAGTCTTTTGGCTTGTTTCAATTGCATAGTATTTCAGGGAAGCACAGTGCAAAATGAAACACATGCATTACCTGGTGTCATCTGATATATGAGCGACCTAACACCACACAACTTCACAGAGCCGAGGCTGCAAGAGTAGTCAGTTGATGGGGTTCAAGTTATACTTCACCCAATTAATTATAGAATGAGCCCAGGCAGGTGACATAGCCTTCTGAACTTTAGGTCCCTATGTGTAAAGGAGGAGTAGACATATCTATCTCCATGGGTCTGTTGATAGTCACATAGATCAAATGACTTGTTTCCCAGTATTTCTTCTTTATTTCTATTGTGTTTTTTGTTAGTTACCAGACTATGCTCTATTTTTCCTTTTTCTTGTGGTTGGGGTAGCAGCTGACGAGAGCTTGAAGAGGTCCATTATTCTTCATATGGCATGTTGCATCCCACCTTGAGATGCTCCTAACAATGGACACTGATAGTCCCTTACTAAGTACCTGTTTCTAAATGAGGCATTTTCAGTTTGTATTCACAAATACTTAAAACTAGATCATTAAATGTATTCATTGGCAGTTAAAATGTGATCAATAAAAAGTTCTCTTTTATAGTTCACATCAGCATTAAAGTCTCCAAAATTCAATCTTATGAGTAGATTTTACGACTTGTCATCCAATCAGTTGGCATTTGTTTCAGAGAAGATACAAAAACTAGTCTTGTCAGAACAGAAAATGGAACCTTAGAGATTTGTGTTTTACTGGACATCTGTAAGAGTTAGGGATAAGATCAGAATCTTAAATTTTTTTCATTTAAAACATAATTATATCATTTCCCCCTTTCTCTTTCTTCTTTTCAACCCCTTCCACGTGCCTTTCCTTTGCTCCGTCCCTAATTCATGACCTCTTTTACTTTATTGCCTATATATTACTGATAAGGGTATATATGTATATGTAATTATATAATATTTATAAAGTGGTTAATAAATTTGGGGGTTTATCCTGAGGGAAGATTCTTCCAATCCAATAAGACCTTATTTGCCTGTAATTCTTCCTCTAAGGATAGGGTTCTATGAGATTTTCCCCTTTCACATTAGTCTGTCTATTGATGTTGTTCAGGTACTATTTAAACAGCCATATTGTTGAGGTATCATGAATTTTTATTGTAATTTCCAGTAGAAATGATCACAGAATAGACATCAGGGCCTTCTGACTCCCATAATCTTTTTTGCCATCTCTTTCATGATGTTTTCTGAGCCTTGAGTGCAGAAGTCGTTTTGTAGGTGAATCCATTGTGTCTGAAAAGATCACAATCAATTGTCAAAGTATTATTATTGAAGACTAGCTTTCATAGTGTCTGAAGGTAATGTGTGTGTGTGTGTGTGTGTGTGTATGTGTGTGTGTGTGTGTGTATGTATGTATTGCAACGGCAAGAAAGCAGCCAGTGGTCTTACCCCACTGTGACACCTATGAACCAAAACAATGACTAACATGGCAAGATATGCCTGCAGGTGAAACAGTGGCACCCATGTCTTGGCCATAACTTAAAACTGTCTAATTGGACTCAATAGTAGGGAAATCATGTCTGGTGCTGAAAACCTAATCAGCTCCCCAGGGTTAGTGAGGTCATGGACCTTAGAAGAGAACCTTGTACCATCATTTTACTAAACCAGCATTACCCCTACTACATTCTAAATATTCACCCTTATAGATGTATGTCTCAAGCCTCATCAGAGAAAACTTTTCTTTGCAATAGATGGAGACCATTACAGGACACCACACCTGGTCAAAATACAGAGAAAAACTGGGATTAGAATTCTCTTTTTTTTTGTTTGTTTTTTGTTTTTTCAAGACAGTGTTTCTCTGTGACTTTGGAGGCTGTTCTGGAACTATTTCTTGTAGACCAGGCTGGTCTTGAACTCACAAAGATCCTCTTGCCTCTGCCTCCCGAGTGCTGGGATTAAGGCGTGCACCACCACCGCCTGGCTTGGGATCAGAATTCTGATAGAGATCTGGGTATTGATTCCATGATCTTAGGGACAGAGGCTCTCTGGAAGACCCTGTTTTCTACTTGGAGTCACTCTAGGTCTTAAGCGATAATTAAGGTCAGAAGAACCTGTATTTCCTTGGAGTTGTGTTCTGTTAGTGAGCTGGTAGCTATGCCAAAGATTTACTCCATTCTCTCTGTTTTTCTTTCCTTACTTCTTCTCCTCTTCAGGTTAAATATTAAGTAAATTAATGGAAAGTCAATGAAAAGAAGGCTCACCTGCAGTGGATATTTTTCTCATGGTTTCTGGTAGGCTTAATGGAGATATCCTAGGTTTTGTATAATCCTTCCATTTTCCTGCAAGCATTGTTTTGTCCTTTGTTAAATACTAAGATTTATGTCTAATTGGTTTCTTAAAATACATTAATTACAGACATGAAAACACATTAAAATCATAAACGAATTCAGTAGTGTCAGTTTTTGTGTTGATGTGTTCGCAGAATGCATATCGTTTAAAACACATAAGAGAAATGCACTCCCTGCCTTTTCAAATGTGCACTCTTGTAGAAAATAGTCTTTTGGTCTAAAC